GAATAAGAAGAAATATGTATGTTTATTCTTATTCAGATCAGTACAGATAGATCAGGCCTGTTTTCTCTGTACTGATCTGAATAAGAATAAATATACCTGATCTATCTATAGTGACCTGAATATGAAGAAACATACCTGATCTATCTGTACTGATCTGAATAAGAAGAAACATACATGTTCTATCTGTACTGATCTTAATAAGAAGAAATATACCTGTTCTATCTGTACTGATCTGAATAAGAAGAAACATAACTGATCTATCTGTACTGATCTGAATAAGAAGAAACATACCTGATCTATCTATAGTGACCTGAATAAGAAGAAACATACCTGATCTATCTGTACTGATCTGAATAAGAATAAACATACCTGATCTAACTGTACTGATCTGAATAAGAAGAAACATACCTGATCTATCTATAGTGACCTGAATAAGAAGAAATATACCAGACCCATTTTCAATATTTCTTATAGTAAACCAGGCTTACCTGATCCAACCTCCACAACTCTGCAGTTGTCTTCGTCGTCAAAGCATCCAGATCCTACTCCAGAAAATATCAGATCATCTCCGTTGTAGAAAAACCTAGCTGTAGGCTGATATGCACAAAATCAATTTAGTTTCTAATATCTCCTTGTAACAGTCATAACAGTCCCGTTGTTTTTGTACAGATTGATTGTTGCGTATGTAACATTCACGTTGTCGTTACAGACTGATTGTTGCATATGTAGCAGCCATGCTGTTTTTACAGATTTTTTTTTTTTTGCATATGTAACACTCAGGTTGTTTTGTAAAAATACATTGTTACGTATGTAGCAGTTACTTTTTATAGATTGGTTGTTGCACATGTAACAGTAATATTGTTTTTACAGATATGTTGTTGCGTAAATAACAGTCACGTTGTTTTTACACAAACATATTATTGTATATGCAACAGTAACTTTATTTTGTTCAAATTGTTGCGTATGTAACAGTCACGTTGTTTTGTATAGATTAATTGTAGGGTATGTAACAGTCACGTTATTTCGTAGAGATATATTGCGTGTGTACTTAATTGGGGGAGCGAACCTCAAATTGCATGGAGTTAGATAGAAATATTTTGCTAATCCAGTAATATTGTTAGTAACCATCCTGTTATGATTGGGGTCTGTTTGACTCGACACTGGTTTTGATTCCGTTATGATCCAAGTAAATATGTATTTGAGTTCGTGATAATGAGAGTTTGCGTGAATTTCTAATATTTACCATAAAAGACCAAGAGTTATGCAAAGAAAAAAATATGTTATTTCAATACAAGATTTCTTTAATTTGTTTGAAATTGAATCGGGTCAATGTGACCTCATACATAACACAGAAGGAAGGTTGATACAAAATGATAAAAACCATGAAGAAAAAGAGACCACCTTTCGAAAACTTGGGTTATAGGGTTCACAGAATCACCTCGAAGAAAACTGGAAAGCCATCACACTTCGTGAAAGTAGTAACCACCTCCAAGAAAGCTGCAGATAATATTCTTTCCCACGGATGTTTCTTTTATTTCTTCTATTTTAGAGCCGAAAGACCGTAAGCCGCGATCACCAGCAACCTACACTAATAAGTCTCCCATTCATCTTTCATGTCAGCACTACACAACACCCTCTGTAGACCAAGAAACACATATGCCCACCAACGAAAACCCAGCACGAAAATACCAATACATGCAGACCACAACAAATATATGTATATATAAAGAAATTTCAAACACCGCATACAGACACTCAGGACACAGGAATATCTTACAATAATCCAGCTGCACTTGCCCAACAGATCCAAACTCGAACATTCACCAAGAACAAATAAATTCAAGCAGGCGTTCACCCGAACCAGCATGGCCTTGTAGAATAATTCGACAGATAGGCTTCGTCGAGCCTTCGCTTTCCAGTCATGAAGCTATTGAGGAGACGCGCGATACATTTTCCTTTCTCCAGCGACGATGAAGACTACAAAGAGCCGATCAACAGAGCCCCTATGGCCTGCATTCAGCCGTTTCTTCAAGAATAAAAGCTTTCTGCACTAGTTAAACAACGATGATAACCCCATGCACGTTTGCCATTCCTTCTTCCTATTCTCTCTCCAAGATACCCTCTTATATTTTCTGGTTTCCCTGGGCACTGGTCAGGTAGAGCATTCAGCGTCTCATCAGTGAAAATGAGTTTTCTCGGGCTAATCCCATTTTCCCCACATCAAACTTTCTAGGCATAGGATTTATAGATCCTCACCTCCCTGAAAAACCATTAGTTTGATAAGGGCCATTTGACATCAAAATGAGAAGTTATCCACTATGTGCAGGCACTATTTCAACAAGCACAACCAACCTTCCCCGGACTTTTTTCCGGCTCTTCTCACTTAAACGTCGCAACCAAAAGTTAATATATTGCCTAGCCAAGTACAACATTTTCAACATTTGTCCAAAAGTCACGAATTTCCAAGTATAGCCTTACTTTTCTACCATGTGTACGGTTGTCTCCCAAAGCTTCCAGTAAACTCTGAGCGATTTTCTAACCGAAATACCTGCCAAGATTTGAATTTAGATTTGGCTGCAGAGTTTCTCTCTAAAGTCACAGCTCTTTTGCAGTTTCTCTATAGCAACGAATGTACTGAAGGAGCAGCTTCATGAGCCTTTCATCATGACAAAGGTATTCAATGAGGTAGTGTAATCCAAAGGCTTTCCTTAATTACGTCCATACGTTTGAAAAGATATAATTTAGTCTTAATGGTTAGTAGTAGTGCAAGTGTCAAGTGCTTACAGTTTGTTAGGTGCGATAGGTGCAAGAAGTGGGTTTTATTTGAAAATCCGGGAATGGCATGCATAGATAAACAAGCTAAGAATGATGTTGTACAATCTGTATGTAGTTTGTAGGAGAAATTGTAGGCTGTTCTAAATAGAGTAAAAGCTATTGATAAAAAAGGTAAACTGCGGGAAATTGGAGCAGGATTTAAATAGGAAATTAAGCTTTTGCATGCGAAAGATACAGTGGCTAATAATGACTTTTAAGTAGATGAAAACATTACAAATATGACTAGTAATTGTGGATTTAATTGTGATGAACAGGTTCTATTAAGCAACATATTTCAGCTTGTGTAGATGATGAGCTTGAGGAGGGAAGGATAACAAAATTATAGATAGCGATGGTAATGAAAATTATAAGAAGATTCTTGTTACAGGAGTTCCTCTAACACGACACATGGATATAATAGTATGTGGGGTAAATAGGGAGAAAACAATTAGATTGTGCTATCTATGGAAAGGGGTGGAAGATATAACCAACAGGCCAAGTGATAAAATAAAGGATGTTAACAGTGATGCAGTCTTTGTAGTGCACATAGGAGTTAATGATATAGGGAAGGATATGTAAGAGGAGCTTATTGTTTTAGTACAATGCATTCAAAGAAAAGGTCAAAATAACTTAATTCTGTCACGGATGCTGCCAAGGCTTAACAATGGGGATGAAATAAGTAGATCACTAGAGTTTAATGCTAGGCTTATATTAATATGCAAATAAGGGCAGTTTGGCTGCTTGCATTTGTAGGATAAGTTCAGTGGGAAAAGGGAGCTTTCTGAAATGGATGGTTTACATTTAAAAAGAGTAGGAGGTGACTTGTTTGCAAAAGCTATTAACTCAACCGAAGGGTAAGAATAATGAATTAAAAATATAATATAGAGAGTGGTATAGTGTGGGAACAAAATATAAAAGCAGTTTTAATCGTAGGCTAAACTGTTATTATTGTAATGCTAGAAGTATACAAGATTAATATAATACTAAAATTCGGTGGGGGAGTGTTTTTATATGTAAAATGTGAGTTACTTCCTGTTCAAGTTGAGAATATCATAGCTGACAGCAACGAGGTTGAATCTATTTGGGTTTCTGTTGGTGGTATTAAGAGTTCAAGGCTTTTAGTTGGAATTACTTATAGACTACCTGATGAAACTGATGAAATTAATGAGAAATTCTACAGTGAGATAAAGGTTTCAGCTATTAATGAAGTCATATGTATTGGGCGTTTTAATTCCAGCCATATACATTGAGAAATATTGGAGTCAAATAATGAGTGGTTTTCTTCAACCTACAAGGAACAATTCTATTTTAAATTTATTCATAACTTCTAATTATTTCCTATGAATTTAGCAACTGAATTAGTCGAGGATATTGATCAAATTTGGAAAGTGTTCTTAAATTTTTAAGATAAGAATGTTCCTTATAGAGAAAAAAAGGATGACTGCAAGTAAAAAAGAAACAGGTTGTCTCACAAAGGATATAAAAAATTACATAAAAGCATCATAAGTATAAGAAGTTTAAACCGACTGCAATGATGGAAGATTAGGAATGAAGATTTAAGCAATATTCTTTATCCTGAAAAGTTGCTAGATGGCAATAACGTTGAGCAAAATGATTACATTAATTCTAAGCTTGCTAAGAAAAAAGTGGGCAGTTTAAAGAAGGATAAAGTTCCCAAGAGAGATTGTATTTACCCAAAGGTTTTGAAACAGGTTAAGTATTGGATATGTGAGCCACTTGCTATTATTTTTTCTAAGTCCTTGAACAGTTGGCAAGTACAAGAAGACTTGAAGTTGGCTAATGTTACTCTTCTTTTCAAGAGACGTGATAATAATTGTCTCAGTAATTATAGGTCTATTCGAAATGGTGTATTTTAAGTGTTTTACATTCACAAAAAGAAACCTATCATACACCATTTCGATTTTCGATACCTCACTACTATAAAGGCTTGGTATGGTCTGATATTTCATTGGTGGTAGTGTCCAGGGTCTCTGATGAGGAGAGGAATTCTCCGAAACTAGTCTGGCTCACAGACACACACACCCAATGAAAGAATAGACCATTCCAAACTTTTACTTGTTGTTAAACAAATGTTTAAACAACTCTATTCAATTATAGGTCTATTAGTTTTACATCAGTGGTGGGAAAAGTTTTTGAAAGTCTGATAAAAATAAGTTGCAAAGTCATTTAACAAAATTCAAAATTTTGTTGATTAGTCAGCATTGATTCACTGAGAAAAAGTTTTGACTCACAAATCTTTTGCCATTCCTTGAAGAGATTACTGCTCATATAAATAAAAGAGCAGGTGTGGAGTTTGTGTATCTAGATTTTCAGAAAACAATTGACCAAGCAAGGTGCCACATAAAAGGCTTGTAAAAAACTTATCTCTCTAGGTGTGGGGGATAAGTTGGCAAATTGGATAGAATAGTGGGTGGATGGAAGAAATCAGAGAGTTGTAACAAATCTCAAACTGGATTAATGTCACTAGTGGGGTTCCTGAGGGTTTAATGGTAGGAAATTTGCTTATTTTGATTTACATCAATGACATGGATGAAGGAATGACCAATATATTATTTAAATTTCCTAAATTTGTTCGTATTTATTGGTGAAAATGTTAAGACTATGAGACAAAAATATGAATATTGGTATGGTAGGGATAATTTTTGGCAAAGACATGTTTATTTTTCTAATAGTGGTTAGCCTTTGAAACTGCTTGTCTTATGAGTTTTTTGTGTGATAGATTCAGTTAAGCTATGGGAGTTTACGGGAAGGCTTGATAAATATTTAAATGATAAGGGTTGAATTTGAGTTTTTTTATTGTTTAATTAACTTAGTAGACAGGATAGCCTAGATGGACTGAAAAATCTCTTGTTGTCCTTTAATGTTATCTGTGGCTGATGCCCATATGCAAATTGTGGAAGTTGCATTAATACATCAAGTATTTCAATAATACTGGAACACCCATCAAGCTTCCAGTTTTGGCCCCATCAAACTTTGTAGAAGACACTAAAGCTGTTCTCATACTGCTTCTTTCTGACCCGTAAAAGTGATAGAACATTACCTTGGAATTCAACGAACATGTTCAAGTATATGACAATTGGCTTGATAATATTTCGTGGCCCGATGAAGTCTACTTCCACAATTAAATTATCTGGGGTCAAACCAATCCACATACATTCGTTGAAAACCCCTCTATAACCTAAAGGTGACTGGGTGGGCTAGGTTTGCCAATAGTGTTATCATTAGACTTTATTGAACTTTGTTTGGAATTTAACACAAAGCTACACAACGGGCTATCTGTGCTCTGCCCACCACGAGTATCGAAACCCGGTTTCTAACGTCGTGAGTCTGCAGACATACCGCTGTGCCACTGGGGGGCCTTTATCGAACTAACATTCGATTAAAAAACACCTTCGTGACCTAAAGGTGACTGTTATCATCAAAATTTATTATGTAATAGAAAACAAGAAATGATTAAAGATTACGAGTTTTGGAAAATCCGGAGTTTTTGAATTTTAGTTTCACGTGCTAGTTACATATAGAGGGCGTCCTTATTAACTAACTTTTAAAATGTGAAAAGTTTAGCAAGGCCTCAGAAAGTTATTATTGCCACAGAATCTATAGAAACAAAAACTAAAATGACAAATAATTAACTGTTAATACACTACCTGATCTAAGTTTTTCATGCGACTCAGATCATATGGGATAGATACCAGGACTTCTACGTCACCCTCCACTATTACCCTTGGATCTCCCTCAGAAGCCATGTCCAGAAGTCTATCACCATTGAACACCAGTCCAGCAATAATTCCGTGAAATGGTTTTTCCAACTGGCCAGTATTTAGAATTTTCTTGGCTCCAATTTGGATTTTAGAGTGGCTGTTGAATATTGTTAATTGCTTTCCTGAAAAATTCCAAACAGGTATAATCCTGAGTAAAATATATCTGATTATATATCATATCTAAACTTACTGATAAGAAATGCCACTCTTGTTCCAATGACAAAGAGAGTTTAACGTATCAATAAATAATAAAAATTTACCTCTTTTCTAAACAACATTTTATCACGCAGTGGAAAATATATTGAAATAATTTACAAAATTGATTCATTTTCTTTGCATATCCATGTTGAAAAACGTTAAAAGGAATACAAATTACTGTACATTAATGAGCCACTGGAAGAAAACCACACACACCTCTTATAACACAGTTGCTGAAACCGCAAAAACAACTCTATATTAAGTGTACAGTGATTGTCATTGCCATTATAAATGTTCACAGCTCGATATTGCCATTTTCATTGACACCAAACTCCACATCTCAATGTTAGGTGTTCAATGGTTGCCATTTTCATTATCAACACCGAAATCTACATCTCGATGTTGGGCGCTCAGTAAATGTCATTTTCATTATCAACACCAAAGTCTACAGCTCGATGCTACTTCAAGACGTACATTTATGATTATATAATTTTTAACTGTGTTGGCATGTTACAATTTACATTTGAATCAACCTTTCTGCTGCAAGGTGTCTAGTTTATTATTATTCAGTTTATTTTTTCCTCTTCTTTATATACTTACTTTTTAGTTCTTGCTTGTGCCAACTGCTCGAGTAGGTTTGTTATAAACATTTGTATTTGGTAACTATTTAATATTTTGTTAAACTCAGGTTTAGGTCCACTGTGGACAAACAACAAACATGCTGTGTGAGAGATCCTGCATATTCCATAATAATATGAAGAATTATAGATATAACTAGAAGAAAACAGCGATTTTGTCTATTGTAACACAACATCAATTCAAATAGTTTATCCACTACTACTAAAATATACTAACAACAAGGACTGGTCTGTGTAAGAGTAAATAGATCAGTGTGAAAGGTACTATATATAGGATAATGCCCTTAGTGAGAACTAATAATTCATTGGTTAAATACGTTGTCGATGCTTTAGTACAAAGCTACACAATGGTTCATTTTTACTCTGTCCACTACATCGTTGGCAATGGATATGGCGAACATAGTGTTTGGAGTACTAATATTATACACTCTCTAATTCTTGAAAGCCCTGAAGAACTGGATAAACAATGTAGTGTTTAAATATATAATAAACCTAATACTAATGTCTTATACCAAATATATTTATAATCATACTTCGACAGTTTGTGAAAGGCGTTCACACCACAACAATATTTACTATATTTTTGTTTTATATTTTTTATGTGACTCATTTATTATTAGAGATCTTGTAACCAAAAATAGTTGTGGACCCACAAGCAACTTAGCTCATAAATAGTTTAGATTTAAAAAAAAAATCCGATGAGCTTATCGAGCAAAGTTAAACCATAAACCAATCAGTCGAAGTAATAAAGTTTCTAACGTGGTTTGTTTTGCGTATAAGAAGTTTCAGCTCTGAAAATTCAAACACACTAACAACCTGTTCTACAAAAATTACTTGATAAAGTCTTACCACTTGGATGCTTCGTAACAACGTTGTGGTGGTCAAGCTGTATCGTAGAGTTGGGCCCGGAGCGGATGAACCGAACCACGTGGTACTGGCCGTCATCTACCCTCGCACTCAGCTCTCCAACTGGATGGTCTTGGGTGCCGAGGTTGTAAACTACAAAGATGGTTCCCTCCATCTGGTAAAGTGAACTATTTACTGTAACATTTAACAGCTGGAATTCTGGATAAAAGTTGTTTTTAACAATGACGTCATGTGATGTGACGTAAAACAGACAATAATAGTAGACATCATTACATTATTGATTTCCATTCAGTATGAAACATTTATAATAGAAGTTCTTTATTGGTTCTTAAGTAAATACATGCTATTATATTAAACTTTAATTAAACAAAAACAGACATACTTAAATTATGCTGAATGAATAAATATAGGGTGTCGAAACTTATAACAGATAAATATAAAAATAACAATAAGACATTAAAGTTGCCAAAGTAAACTACCACATCAAGTACTCACAATATTGAAAATGACCAATAAAGGTGTTAAACTGAACAATACTGTCTAGTGCTATCGATCTTGATAACAATATAATAGTATTTAAAATGAACTCTAGATTACAGTATTGACATTATCGTCAATAGGAGACTCAAGTTGTTAAAGTATACAATGTCTACTAGTACTATTGTTCTTGATGGTAACACAGTAAAGTTGTAAAATAATTTTCATCGTTTGTTAATAACATTATTGCCAGTAAGAGTATATAGTTGTTAAACTAAACAATACAGACTAGCACTAACAATATTTCCAATATACCAATAAATATGACAAAATAAAGAATTGAGTCGTGCGAACAAAGGAGATTATCCTTTTTCCAAATCATTGTCTAATTCTCATATAGAAAGGTTCTCTTTATTCAAAATATTCGTTTAGTACTGGTATCAATAAAGGACTATTTACTTTTTCATAAGTATTGTCTAGTATAGGAATATCAGGCAGGCGGTAGCACTGCCTATGTAGGGATGGATTGGATTGTTTATCGAAATGGTATTTTAAATAGGTCATCAGAACTTTACAATACTATACAATGTTTCCATTTATAACAATATCTATGTAATGACTGAGTCACAAGTTCTGGGAATGTCTGTAAATATCATAGCAAAAAGTTTGAATTCATTGTTCTTCTTTCTTCTGCTTCCTATTTATTACATGATAACTCCAAAACCAAAACAATAGTATCAACCAATTTCTCTGAGGTGACATAGTTTCAAACGGAGAATTCGCTTTTATAAGTATTATTACCTAGTAGTAATTTAAAACAAATTATAATTCTAGTGTACCCCTTCAAGTTAGCGTATTTACAGAAATTTGGTGATCCTTTAAAAAGCGTAAGTACAAGGTGAAATTACCAGCAATTGATAAATAATAAATAATAAACCTTTCTATGTCTTTTGAAACACTGCATAAAAACAACAATAAGTAAAGAAAAACGTTTAAAAAAAAAGGAAGTAAATGTAGGGATGGCTAATATTAAGCCTTCAGAAACAATGCAAACAAGATAGTGGGGATGGCATTTGCATCATTCCTACATAATAGCACAGGCAAAAATTAACATATAGCAATATATATAACTATTCAATCATAACTGCGTTTAATTCAACCTATTTTTGTCTGTTAACATTCTACTTCACTGTATACCTGTGATATTATGTAGGGATGATGCAAATGCCATCGCTACTATCTTGTTTCTGAAGGATTGATATTAGTCATCCCTACATTTACTTCCTTTTTAGAAAAGTTTTTCTATACTTGTCAATAAAGGAATAGCTCGTAAGTTACGTCTAGTACTAATATCAATAAAGGAATAGCTCGTAAGTTACGTCTAGTACTAATATCAATAAAGGAATAGCTCGTAAGTTACGTCTAGTACTAATATCTATAAAGGAATAGCTCGTAAGTTACGTCTAGTACTAATATCAATAAAGGAATAGCTCGTAAGTTACGTCTAGTACTAATATCAATAAAGGAATATATTTACTTGTTTATGGAAGCACATTATGCTAATTTAAAACTGACAAACAATGATGTATAAATAAAATGAAGTGGTTTATTTTAGTGGGGAAGATACTGCATGTTGCGACAGAACATTGGTCTGTCTTTTATTAAGACACTCTATTATGCTTATAAATCTTTGTTTGTCAACTTATTATGAAAGGAGTGTGTTCTTATTCAAAAGTTTCACCTAGTACTGAAATTAATAAAGGAGTCTCCTTATTTATAAAATTGTGGTTCTCATACAAACAATATTAGTTATTCACAAGCTTCGCCTAGCTTTCCTTCGGTTTAAGGACAAGCTTATAATTGATAAACTTCTATTTCTCCTTATGAAAGCTGTTTTAACGTGTAAATAAGCCTATCTGTCAACCAGTTTGCTAGCTAATCAGAATAAATGTTTTTTATTATGGCCACAGAATAAAAAGACTTACTATTTCAAGTTGTAAATAGTCGTTACTTGTGCCGCTATCAACTCGAACGAGCACGGCGTTGTCGCTGACTGTAATAAAACCCAGTGTCAGAAGATCTGTTTCAGTGTCAGGACGTCGATCCAGTGTAAATGTGAATGTAATTATTCCAGAACCACTGCCGAAATCGTAGGCTATACTCTCTGAAACAAGTTGCATATTTTACTACAAAATGAATAAAATCAACACATTAAATAAGGTGTTTTAAAAATAATTCGAATGAAAATATGGTATGTAAGTATACAATGCGCTTTCTACGTCCTTATTTTAATATATTAGGTCGTCAAGAATAGTCGAGGAAGGTCCTGCAGTCACAGATGGCCTAGTAGTAGTGGTAACAGGTGTAGACCAAAAATATTATCCTATTCTATTAGGTCGTCAAGAAATTATTGTCCTTTTTTTTTAGATGAAAAAACCCGAACAAGTTATATATCAAAACAACACATTTATTAAATCGATG